TAACAACAACACACGNTTTAGACGACATTTTCCCCGAGATCGGGGGTTGCCGTTTGGCTACCTATGATGAAACCGAAATACCCCTCGACGCCATTCCATCATAAGTAATTTCTTTGGCTAATTTTTACGCAGGACACCCTTCCTTACGCAACCACAGTTATAAGCGGTGGGCCCTGCCTTTGATGATCCAACATCACTCACAAGGCAGTGAGGGTCAGTTTAATGTCATAACCAGGACATTGATAATATAAACAATAACAAAACAAAATTCAAAAGGACAGCATGACAACAGTCAGAGGAAGCCCACCTAGCCTTGGATATAAACTTGTAGGTGCTCTCCCAATGGATGAGCAGATCAACGTGATCGTCGTCGAAGACCCTCACGTTCACGTACTCGAATGTCTCCGGGTAGAAGTTCGCTATCTCCCTCGTCACGTTCAGTATGTACCTGACACTGAGTTATGACGACGACGACGACGATGATGAAGATGATTTTGGAAAAGATGTGATGATGAATATGACTTTGTGGATGAGAGCAATGACAAAAGAGAGCAGAACAGCAATGAGGAACATAGAAAAGGGGTTGAAGAATCGACATTTTGAAAAGAGATTCACCAACTTGTTAGCGTGTAGTTCATCCAAGTTCGAGGCATTCCATTCAGAGCCCAAGAAGAGGAATGGAAGAATTTCAGAAGGGGCATCCATCTGCCTCATAATGATGATCATTTCGTCGTCTATGAACCTCCTCCACTCCAACAAACTCATCGACATCTCCTCTTCCAGGCGAGTCCGCAGCTGAAAGGGGTTTGTTGATGGGTGACAGGTTTGCACTGCAGCTGGACTATTGACGATAAACTATTATTATTACAGATACAATTATTATAAACTCACATATTTGCTGGTCACTTCCTCCAGATCCACAGTCATCATGATCTGCTTCAACTTCAGCCTGATCACATTCTCCAACTGTGAATTCATCAGCCTATGCACAATTCGTAAGAGACACAACCGACAATGAAATGTATGAGAACAGCAACAGCAGCAATAAACAACAACAACACCACCACCACCAACAACAACAACAACAACGTACACTCCAGCACTAGTTGTTGCAAAGGACAACGAGCAGAAATCATGTTGAGGTGTTGTGTCTACAGTGCAGTGCCATTCAGAGAGGCTGGAAGGCTCTGAGGTGATTCGTGCCAGGTAATGTTTGCTCCAAGTCGAGTGTATGTGTCCCAAGTTGATGCTGCTGCTGCTGCTGTTGTTGGTGGATGCAAAGTGCTTGAAGTGGCTCGCTGCGTCCCGAGCTTTCGTCAGACACTGCAGGGCTGCCCTGTTCGTTGCGGTGACGTCATGGCGAAGTGATGTAACGATGACGTCATGTGATGTGATGTGACTGTAACATATTTTAATAACGACTGTACCGATGAAAGTTTACCATAAAAATTTGTAAAAGTCTCAAGGGATAAAATGTTGAGCCAACCACATAGCTTGGACAGAGAGAGGCTTGAAGTTGTGCAGTTTGCCGTTTGTGGATATGGTGATCCCTCTGCAGTCAATTATAATTATCATAATAGAAAATAATTACAACTAATTATAATTATTATTAATTATTCATAATTTAGCTGGAAACAGATCCAGAGTCACCCAATCATCCAGTCTACCAGTACCCACCCATCTCCATCGAGCTGCAGGGTACAGTCCCCATAAATTGGAAGCACCAATCCGATGGTGGCCTTTGAGTCTTTTATGTCAATACCCAATATCATGGTTGATTCCTCACGAGAATCTGAGAAATGTGAAAAAAATTGGTGATGACAAACTGATGGTATGGTGATGACAAACTGATGATGATGACAAACTGATGCTGACGGCAAACTGATGATGATGATAAATGATGACGACAAACGATGATGAAAGCTGGTTGTAAAAAAAATGTAAAGTGAAGATGACAAATGAAGAGTGCCAATCAAACATAAACCCCTAGATGAGTTCTCGACAACTGTAGATATCAATGCCATGTATCTGCAGTGTGATGATGATGGGGATGATGATGAGGAGGAAAATGATGGAGATGCTAAAGATGATAGTGACAATGGTGTGGACGACGACGATGATGATAGGTCGAAATCCCTGGTGTCTGAAGCATTTGTGTTGTTGTGTTGTTTGGTGCTGTTGTTAACACTGCTGCTGCTGTTGTTGTTGTTGTTGTTGTTTGATCGACTTTCGAGTTTAACAGCCTGATCGAATGGTTGAGAATTATTTTGGAAATAAAATAATTAATCATTTATAAATATGATAAAAATATTAAATGTATATTTAATTTTAATTTAAAAACAAAAAAAAATCCTCAATTAACCAGCTTCAACTTATCCTGAGCCCTCAGCAAGTACAACATTGCCTGTAAGTGCAACTGTATGTCACCTGTATAAATTTATGGAATACATCTTTTTTTTCATAATAAAAAGTATTTATTCTAAATAACTATGATGAATTTTTATTAATTGACTCATTAAAATTATAGATTAGTATATTAATCATTTTGGATTTTAAAGGCATTCCTCCAAAATTAAAGCTAAATGACAAGCAATACAAATTAATTAATCAGTTTTAATTGATATCATAATGAAGAAAGAAGATAGATTAGTTAGTCTTTAATTAGCACCCCATTAAATGAAACCATCATCTCGACATTATAAAAGGCGATTAGTAACGTAACTTCAATTGGTATTACTAATTAATAGTATAATTAATAGTATAATTAATAATATAATTTGATTATTATTATTAATTATTAATTAACATCAAAGGAGTTAAGGAAATAAAAAACTAGAAACATTTTGTGCACCAATTCCAATAAACTCAAAAAGCGCCTTTAAAGGGCATTGTATAAATTTTCTAATAATAATAATAAAATAATAATAATAATATGAATAATGTGAATAATAATTAAGTAATATTATGAAAGAACCTGCATGTGTCTCTGTTGTAGTGCTTCTAGGACATTCTGTCTGTGATAGTATTAATGCTGCTCCTTTTACTGTCAAGTAACTCTCGCTTAAACTTTTGTAGAAATTATTTTATTATATAAATATTTATTAATAAATTTTATAAAAGAATTTTATTATTATCTGATAGAAATAGTAACAACTGATAATATTATTATTTATTATTTTTTTAAATAATTTAATTTAATTTATTAAGACCTATGAGGCATATGGCCTGTCTTGAAGCTGTTGTCACCCTCCCCATCACAATTCGACATGTCCTAAATAAATAATTAATGTTTTCTTCAGTGAAAATTTTTTAATTTGAATGATAGAAATTTAAATAAAAATTAATTAATTAATTTTTATTTAAACTTTTATTAATAATTATTTTATTTTGTGATATAAATTTTATTATTTACTGATTTGTAATTAAAGAAATTAAGAATGACCTATCATACTTTGACCTTGGACTCTTACATTATTTATATTTTTAAATTACCAGCTAATTAAATAAATTAATAATTAAACAATGAAATAAAGAAATTTTAACAAAATAATTAATACATTGATATATAGACAGAACTAATAATTTATTTATTTTATTATTTATTCTATTTATTAATAATTTATTTTAAAATTAAATTTAAAAAAGGGCCAACAAACAAAAAACTAACAACAAATGAGTGAGTAGTTTCAGGGGCATTGTCCCCGCTAGGACTCGGGGATCTGTGAACAGTGACTAACGCCATACTGTACAGAAGACAGAAACACTAATCTAATCGGTCAACATCTTTTCACTTTTCCTTTTTTCACTAATCTAATCCGTGTTATTATTATTAATTAAATTATTTTCTACAATTCAAAATAATTTCAGAATTTATTTCATTTTAAAAATTGAACAAACCATAATTTAAATTAAATTAGTTAGACAATCCATTAGACAAACAAAATATTTCAATTAATAAATCGTATATTAAAATTTTTCACAAATTTTTGATTAATTTTTTTACTAGAACTGAATTAAATTGTGATTTTTGTAAACATTTTAGATCAACTTTTCGCAAAATATTTGGAATGGATGAAAATGCCAAATTTATGAAGCGATAAAGCCAAATGATATAATTCATTAAACCTGAATACGTGTATCAATCAATCAATCAATCAATCAATCAATCAATCAATCAATCAATCAATCAATCAATCAATCAATCAATCAATCAATCAATCAATCAATCAATCAATCAATCAATCAATCAATCAATCAATCAATCAATCAATCAATCAATCAATCAATCAATCAATCAATCAATCAATCAATCAATCAATCAATCAATCAATCAATCAATCAATCAATCAATCAATCAATCAATCAATCAATCAATCAATCAATCAATCAATCAATCAATCAATCAATCAATCAATCAATCAATCAATCAATCGATCGATCAATCAATCGATCAATCAATCGATCAATCGATCAATCAATCGATCAATCAATTGATCAATCGATCAATCAATCGATCAATCGATCAATCAATCAATCGA